GGGGGGGGGGAAGGAAGGAAGGAAGGAAGGAAGGAAGGAAGGAAGGAAGCTGAAGGCACTGAGATTTTCAGGATGGAAGCTTTTAATTTTTTTTTAGGCACTTCATACAAGTTTTGGGACGATCTACTCACCAATATTGGCAGGAAAGGGGACTTCGTGTACAGCTGGGTCCAAGTTGATCACGTAAGGTGGACAGCTTTGCCTATGCAGGTGTCCCGTAAGCCTCTGCAGAAATACGCAGAGGGTTGGAGGAAGATGAAGAAAGGGGTAAGGGGAACCAGAGAGAACTTCCACTCTTTTATCCACTCTACCTGAAAACTTCGGCACTATTTCCTTCTACCTAAAATATCCACAAGCTATGTCCACCCCACAACTTCAATTCTCATTTCAAATGCTACCCTATCCCCATCGAACAGTGCCTCCCATGCTCTAGATCACTTATGGATGCACATTACGGTTTTCTTCTTCATGAAAACGTTACCAACATGAGAGTACGAACCTTGTCAACTTCATTTTCACTGCTTAGAACATGAGGTGCACTAGAAATAATGCTTTGGCAACTTTTCACTGAAAACCTGTGCTAGCTGTGTATTAATCTCTAGCTACTCATAAGCTCCGGCCTTCAAAAAGTTGGCAATTTTATGAGCAGGACAATTTAAAACATGATAAACTGAACTAATCAGGCACTGAGATACGCAGGTGGAGGCTAGGGTCTGAGACTTCGCAGAAGAAAGAAGTGGAGTAGACAGGAAGTCTCCTGAAAGCCACGCGCCAGCACCCTCCAAATATCCAGAGACCTCCCTTTTTCCTTGGCCTTCCACCCGCCACAGGCAACCTCGCGTGCGCCCCTACAAAGACCGTGCTATATATGTCACCTGTACAAAAGTGGTTTTTCCGGAACCTGCCATTCCCAGCACCAACAGACACACAGGGAGATTAGGAGTTCCCGAAGTCCCGGAATCCGCCGCTGCCACGGGCGCCGCCATCTTTCCCCTGGCCCCGCCCACCCCACCATAGAGACGCTGCCCTCCTAGAGAGTCTTCCGCGACGTTCGAGACTGCGATTGTGCAAAGAATCCAATTCGCAGAAAACCGAGGGCTGAGGTGCTGGGCCGACGCGGGAGCGTGTTCTGTGCGTCCGACCCTGCTGGAGCCAACTAGTGACAGTGGCGGGGAGGTGGGGACGTTGGACAAACTAGAGGAGGACTGGAGGTAGCCAGGAAGAGGGCACCGACGTAGTAGAGTAGGAACTGAGAGGGGCACAGCCCTAGTCCCAGGAGGGCTAGAGGAGATGGCATCTCACGGGCAGGACTCCCGGTGTTCGAAAACGAGAAGCGAGCACCTCTTTGTCAGCCCCAAAGCAGCGGGATACCAAACTGCTAGAGGGGCGGCTGCTAGGCCTCATTTGTCCCCTGAGGTGCTTAAACTGCTAATATCTGTACCAGCCACAAGTATGGCAGTGTGCGATCTCCGGAGTTGCTGGGTACAGCAGAGTCTCATTGACTACCGAAAGAAACGATCACGAGAACCTCCACTATATGAAAGCTTCCAGCCGCGCCGGACCCTTGACACTAGCGCTCGATCTTCCGCAGTCACCCTCACTGAATTACATAGTTGCCCTAGTGAACGCTTGGATTCCGGGAGCAGGTAGGTAGGTATACAGAGAGGTAGCTTTGTTTGCACGGAAGGGCTTTGGAAACGAGAAATATGATCAAAGAGCTGAGAAAATTATTCATAGTCCCATCAACCCGTTTGTTTCTTTGACCCTTTGTAGCTTCTACAGTGTTCTGTAACTCCTAAGGTCAGTATTTCATACCCAAGCTCTGCCACTTGCTAACAGCATTAAGTCTTGGGCAAATCACTTACACTCCTGAACCTGTTTTCTCCTTTTTAAAATTGACCTAATACCTCCCGGGACTGTAGGGAGTACATCTCTGAGGATTGTAAGCTACATTACTGATCTCTACACTTAGTTGTTTCCTCCATAACTTGCATAGTGTCTGGAATACAGTAGGTGCTGGAAGAGTTTTTTTGTTTGTTTGTTTGTTTTTTTAGGAATAAAGGACAATTGTGTGGGGGTTTTGTTTATTTTTATTTCCTAAATTGTCACTAAGAACTGACAAATGTCTCATTTGTTCTTCAGGTTTGCTGAGACCCACATGAGTCCTCATACATCAACATATCTAAGTATGTTACATAAATTTTTCACACCAGACAACCTAACAAAGTGGGAGAAAAGGGTTAAAGGAAAGACAGTATTGGCACTGAAGAAGCTAAACAAGGAAATGGAAGAAGTTCAAATCCACAGGGACCTGGTACTGGAGGAATGCAGAGCACTACACAAGGAAAAGTTACTTGTTGAAGCTGACAGCAAATTCTTTCTGGAATACCTAGCCCAGAAAAATAAGCACTGTAGACAGCTACATGAAGACCTCTGGAAGGAGTATTTTCAAAAATGTGGGGCGATAGAAAAAAGGAGACAAGAATTATCCTCCAAATATGCAAAGCAAACTTCAGACCTTAAAGCACAACAACTGCAGGGGAAAAAGACACAAGCCAATTTAAAAGAGCAGTTGAAGGCCTTAAAGAATATTTCAAAAATAAAAGAGAAACAGGACATGAGAATAGAGTCCTTAGAAAAGGAGAAAGAGAAAATCAAAGCTGAAACACCACTAAAGGACCAGAAAGCACACTTGCAATTCCTCCAGCAAAAAGCACTCCTGGAGAAGCAACTGACTGATCCATACAAGAAGCAGTCAGGAGAGAGAAAAAAATTTATTAAGGCACAGACCTTGGAGTCCATAGCACAGAAGTCTAGTTTTGAGTTCTGCCGTGGGGTCTACAAAGAGAACCTACAGTTACAGGAGGAATTACTGCAGCTACTCGAGATATCCAAGAAGTTGAAGGCTGCTCGAAGCCAGTTAGAAAACCAGAAGCAGCAGCTGGAGCAGGAACAGTGGTATCAGGAATGCTTAATCAGGGGGAAGCAAAGACTGCAAGCAAGGCCTCACTGGTGCCCAAAAGAAGAAGGTGCTACAAAGACCACATTGAGCCCTATCAGTACCAAAGCAAGAATTAAATCCAAAGTAATTCCTAAAATAACATGAAATAAGAATTGGAGCAAATATTCTTAGTTACTACATAAACGCGTACTAAGAAGGCTTTTGGATTGCAGATTACTAGGCTAAAATATCCGTTGTGGAAAATCATTTTGATATTTCTCATCACTACAATTTCTAAAACAAAGTTGAATATATTTTCCAGTAGAGAAACAATGTTAAAATATGGGATCATACTCTGTTCTAGGATTCACAGTCCAATAAATCACTGGTCTAGCCTCAGTCTGTCATAAATACAAAAAATACAACTACCTTAAAAGACTAATTTAAAATACTGTTTTAAAAGTATTAAGATATTTGGATACCTTTTTTCTTTTTTGAGTCTTGTTCCATTTATTTTCTGTAGCAGCATTTGAAATTCTAAAGATGACAAAAATTCTAAGTATTTCAGGTCATGAGTTTTTTCTTACATATGTACTTTGTGTACCACAAAGTTCCTTTGTAATGTGTATGTTCCATATATTTATGCTCATTTAGAACTAGGACTCTTATTTTAAATTAGTGTAGACTTTCTTTTAGAGGAATTGTATTTTTTGCATTTGACTGAGGCTAGACCAGTGATTTATTGGAATGTGAATCCTTGCATGATGATCCCATATTTTAACATTGCTTCTCTAATGGAAGATATAATCAACTTTATATTTTCCAGAAAAACTTCAAAATTTCTGAGTTTTCGGGTTCATTCATATGTAAAATAAATTCATTTAAAATTAAATTTTAAAAAATTCTCCCTCAATATGCCTTTAACTTCTGCTTTTAACATTTTATTAAGTATGTAGTTTATTATTAAACAATGTTTTTACTAAAAATAAAAGCCTACTTATAATTTATACACTGATTTTTATTATTCCAATAACTGGACTTTTTTTTACCTCATCACTCTTATTTTCCATTTCTATGTCTTATTTATACTAGTTTGCAAATAATAAAACTAGTTTTAATTCAGAAATTAGGACTTTAGACATATTTAGTTGCCTTCACCTAAATATCCCTACTTGTGAGCCAAAATACAGAAAGTCTGAACTTGTAGGCATGGGATTCAAGACAAATTGAAAGCTCTATTTTCTGTGGATGTAAAAACCCCAGGAAGGGGCTGGAGTTGTGGCTCACTGGTGGAACACTTGCCTAGCAGATGTGAGGCCCTGGGTTCGATCCTCAGCACTGCATTTAAAGGAAAGGATTCACTGGCAACTAGAAAATATTTTTTAAAAAAAAGGAAGACATATCTCTCAGGCTGATAGTTACAAAATACTTATTAGGATCTTACATTTATACTATTCTGCTATTAATTTCACTTCTGCCATTGCAGTCCTGAGTATCTTCATTCAGGAGTGGGTAACTTCCATCTGATCTCAGTATTTTAATTTATTATCATTTCAGAGAATGGATTTAATATATTGTTTGTGGCCATTCCTTTCAGAACAAGGGCCTGACATGTTAAGGGTGAATCTAACCTAGTAAAATACTTTGAAATTCATACCCCAATGTGAGCAGTAGGCTGGCCAACTAAGATGTCAATCTACTTTTTATCTGAGGAAAATTAAACAGGGTGATTATATTATACAAAGTGTCCGAGATAAAAATTAGGCTGACTTGAATGATAAAGTCTACAGTGCAAACAACTGGGGAAGAAAACATTCCAGGCAGAGGTAACAGTGATTCAGAGGCCCTAAAATCAGAAAAATCTTATTAAGTACAAAGAACAGAAAGGTGCATGTGGCCCAAGTATAGTTGGGGAATGATTAAAGAATATAGGCAAAAGAAGATAAAGCTATTAAGAGACAAAAAGTATGTTTTGGGCTGCAGCTTCTGGATACACAGTGGTACTTTTTGCTGGGTAAGAAGTGACTAGAGGGTGAAAGAAAATCAAAGATTAAGATAAAATAGAAGTAAAATTTCTTAAGGGTTCCCTTTTAAGAAGGAAGTTAGCTGGGCACAGTGGCACTGTCTATAATCCCCTAATACTTGGAAGGCTGAGGCAAGATGATCACAAGAAGCCAGGGCAGTGGCTCACACCTGTAATCCCAGTAGCTCAGGAGGCTGAGGCAGGAGCATCATAAGTTCAAAGCCAGCTTCGGCAATTTAAGTGAGGCCCTGAGCAACTTAATGAGATCCTGTTGCAAAATTAAAAAAAAAAAAAAAACCATAAAAAAAAAAAAAACAGGCTAGGGATGTAGCTCAGTAGTTAAGCATTCCTGGGCTCAATACCTGGTACCAAAAAAAAAAAAAACAAGTTCAAGGCCAGCCTAGATAATTTAGTGATCCCTATCTCAAAAATTACAAATAAAGAAAGGGCTGGGGATGTAGCTTAGTGGTAAGGTTCATTACTCAGCACCACAAAAAAATAAATAACAAAAAGGAGGTAGAATACAGTATTCTTTTTGGTATCAACTATCTTAAATATTACAAAAATATTGGGCTGGGGATGTGGCTCTAGCGGTAGCGCGCTCGCCTGGCGTGCGTGTGGCCCGGGTTCAATCCTCAGCACCACATACAAACAAAGATGTTGTGTCCACCGAAAAACTAAAAAATAAACGTTAAAATTCTCTCTCTCTCTCTCTCTAAAAAAAAAAATAAAATAAAAAAGTAAAAAATAAAATAAAGGCCCATCAACAACTAAAAATTTTTTAAAAATTAAAAAAAATAAATATTACAGAAATATAAAAAATATATATAGAAAGTTGCAAGTCACAACCTTAAATTACAAATTCAGTTGAAGTCCCTCTAGATTGCAGAAACACTATCCCAAATATAGTGTTTAACATTCCTGTGCATGTTTTCATATTTATAGCAATAAATACTGTAGTGTTTTCCATGTTTTTAAACCTTATGTAATCAGTACAAAGTATCTGTAACTTATTTTAACCAGACATCACTTTTGAGATAATTATTCATAATAACAAGAAGCCCTTGCTAATTTTATAGCTTGCATTCCACTGTGTAACTGCCCTGCAATTTATCCATCTTCTTGATGGACAAGGTTATATATTATAGTAGACTAACAAAAAGACCCAAGAATGTATAATGTCTCAAATACACATTTATTTCTTGCTTACATAACAGTCTCAGATAAATGTTCTTGGTTGGCAAATGATTCTCCTTCACAGGGTGACTCAGGGAGTCAACTATCTTCCATTTTGTGTTCTCCCCAACATCATCTGTGTCTAGATAGCAGAAAGGGAAAGGGAGCTTAGAGGTACACTTACTGTCTTCAAACTGCTAGCCTGGAAAGTGATACCTATCACTTACACTCACATTCCATAGAGGGAACTCAACTGGCAAACCCTTTACTGCCAGAAGACAGGAAAGTGGAAAAAGCAGTCTAGCCATTTGTCCTACAGGCCTATAACTTCAGAAGATGAGAGCAGATTTAGGTGGATAGGTAGTCTGATACACATTTTCAATATTTCTCTATTGTAAACAGTACTGCAATAATCAACCTGTTCAACTTTCTTGCTAAAGTGAGCAAAACGAATTTCTCTATCTATACCCAGGACCAAAGCTGTTCAACCTCAGGATTATATTATTACTAGATATTGGCAAATCATTTTCAAAGTGATTAGGCCAATTAACACTCCAAAATTGAGCATGAAAGTTTATACTACTAAACATCCTAGATATACTCAATACCACCAAACTTAGTTACTGTAATGAATTTTTTTTAAAAACTGAGTAGTGTAATGAGGATGATCTATATTGACTCCTGCTGATCCTCAACCTTGAGAAACAAACAGAATAGGAGTACTACAAGGGGCCTGGATGAAACAGGACAATATATTTCCCGTATCATTTCACTTTAGCCTCAAATTCTTCATTTGAGGAGTTATAGAACTACTGAGACAATTGCATATGGACTTATTTCAGACTCATCCCCACCTCCAGCCATCTTCTTAGCCCCACATACAGCACCAGCAAAGAGTCAAGCAGCAGGTCCAGGTCGAAATCAAAAAACAACTGGAAACACCATTCTAAGTGAGAGCCATTTATTTCTTTTGTCATTGCCAAACATTCCCCAAGTCTTACTCACCAGAAATTAACATAGCTTCTTCATTTCTCCTCCCTGACAACCCTCATCTACTGAAAGGTTTTAAGGATGCAACTATCAATAAAAATGTAGTGTAGACATTCCATTTCCTTCACTTGTTTCAAAACTACCTATTCTGGCAGTATCTAATCCAGGTTTCAATGCTCCCTTGTTTGAAAGTGGTCTTCACAAAAGCCCACATGTTAAAGCTATTCAGAGGAGCACAAACAACAGAGTTAAAGGGTGGTAATAGCTTCAGAATTTGAAAGGTAGTATTCATCCACATCAAGTCTAATTTTTTAAGTGGCATATGCCACAAAATAGGCAAGAATATATAAGACCAACATTTTATGCAAAAGGGGAAAGAGAATCCAGAAACACAATGCTGCTCTAACCAATGCTCCAGAGAAAGCCACCCTCAAAGGGGAAGAGTCCATTAAACATTACCAGGTAAGTATGAGGTACAGAAAAAGAACTTTACTTTCCAGCTCCAGATTAATATCTACATCTGGTGTCAAAGTGTCAGAATATAAAGAGGATAGAACTTCATATATAAAAGAGGATAGAAGGACAATATTCTCAGAAAATTCAGACACAGGGTTGTCTAAAGGAATGGATGAGGACTTAGCAGGATTATAGACTAACAAGTGAGGTAAAATCCAGGGCAGAAGGAATGTGCACCATGATTTCCAATCTTAATGGCATTACCAGGAGCAGTAGGCTACTGTGTCAGGGGCATTGTGACATTTCTCAATCCTTAGAATCAAGGGAGCAAAAGCAAGCTTCAGGAGGGCATCATTGCAACAGATGAGACTTCAGGCCCCAGAAAGTTTGGAGCAGTATTTATTGCTTCTACTTTTTCTTTCTAGTCATTTTAATGTTTGGGCCACATTACTCCTAAGGCTGCTTTTCATGCCTGTGGGTCTAGTTAGTCACTGCTACCTGGTAGAAAGATTTCCCAGTATAACCAGTGGAGGGAGGTTCTAGCTTTTTCTTGCTAAGTCCTTTTCTTACTTTCAATCCTAAAACCATATTGAGGACACACAACAGCCTCCATAAAGTTTTGCTTCCCAAGAGGACAGGGTAACCTACTATATAAGTGACAACAGTTCTAGCTTCTATAACAATATCACAAATACAAAATGATAAACCAGTATGGTTTTAAAAAATTAGTTTGGAATTGTTTTATAAGCTAGATGATGGAATGGCTACTAAATCAATGGAGCTTCCAAGAACATTCAAACCCCAGGAAGGAAAAGACAACCAAACAGGTTTCTTAATCTTGAATAGGGCAAGAGGGGCATATACTTGGCCTTAAGAGGGAGCTCTTTGGGCAAGAGAAGAGAAAAACAAGAGGACTCCAAAGAGGAATAGTAGGAAAACCTACTAAAAGGGGAAAGAGGGAGAATGAAAGTGAGTTAGTAGAGAAGACAATGAAATTTACACAGGAGAAAGGAGCTGAGAAAGTCACAGCCTTACACAAATAGCTGAAAGCATCTTTGCTCAGCCCCACCACTCAGGCCTCCCGACATAGTTCCCTGTGACAAGAGCATCACATTCACTCTCCTAGGAGCACTTTCACTGACTGCCTATTTCCTTCCTCGTTTATGATTCGTCTTTGGGGGCTTTACTTTCTGGAACTGTGCGGGCACTGGCTCCTGCTCTGATTCCTTACAGGAGGTCGACACGACCAGTTCCTCATTATTCCTCCTCTGATCCTTCCCTACTCTAAGACTCAGCTCAGTTTCAGGAAGCTCAATGCCAGGCTGCTGCCGCCTTCTAAGAGACCTTCTGCTCCTGTGCTGCTGCCTCCGCTTTTCTTCTTCCTGCTGCCGCTGCTTTATCTTCATCAGCTTTTCGAAGCTTTTGGTGGTTGTTGGATTTACAACAAACCAATCCTAGAGAGGCAGAACAGAAAAGTCATCTAGTGAGAAACACAGAAAGAATATACAGAAGGGGTATAGGAAGAATGAAAGAAAAAGCATGGTTAGGGCATAAAATAGTAAGGAAGAAACAGGTATACAGAGTCATACCTTAGAACTTTATATTTTATTTTTGTTAATATTCTTTTAGTTATAGATGGACACAATACCTTTATTTTTATTTATTTATGTTTATGTGGAACTGAGGATCAAACCTAGGACCTCATGTGTGGGAGGCAAGTACTCTACCACTGAACTACAACCCCAGAACTTTATATTTTATTTTTATTTATTTTTTTTTTTAAAGAGAGAGGGAGATAGGAGAGGGAGGGAGGGGGAGAGAGAGAGAGAATTTTTAATATTTTTTTTTTTTTTTTTTTTTTAGTTCTCGGCGGACACAACATCTTTGTTGGTATGTGGTGCTGAGGATTGAACCCGGGCTGCACGCATGCCAGGTGAGCGCACTACTGCTTGAGCCACATCCCCAGCCCCTATATTTTAAATTGAAGAAACCTAATACATGATTCTGGATACTTTTTGTTGTTGTTATAGATGAAGAGCATGCCTTTATTTTATTTGTTTATTTTTATGCCATGCTAAGGATCGAACCCAGTGCCTCACATGTGCTAGGCAAGCGTTCTGCTACTGAGCTACAATTCTGGGTACTTTTAGTAAATGATCTACAAAGTCTTTTTATTGAGCATCATCCCACCCATTTCATTCTTTTGTATAAATCTCATGATGAGATGTAAAGCACTGAGCCACAGAAGATTTTTATTTCATGACAGTGTAGTGAACAAGAACATGATTTTTTTTTTTGTGGTGTGGGTGGGGTGGGCCACAGAGGAATGAACCCAGGGGCATTTAACCACTGAGGCAAATCCCTAGCCTTTTTTATTTTTCCTTTTGAGACAGGATCTCACTAAGTTTCTTAGGACCTCACTGAATTACTGAGGTGGCTTTGAACTTGCAATCCTCCTACCTTAGCCTCCCAAACCGCTGGGATTACAAGCATGTACCACCACACCAGCCAAGAACATGAACTATGCAGCCAGTGCTCCTCAGTGCAATTCCCAGTTCTGTTTTAGTTATGTAACTATAGGCAAGTTACTTAACCTCTCTGAGCTTCAGTTTAAAAAATTAATGGGTAGGACTGGGGTTGTGACTCAAAGGTAGAGCGCTCACCCAGCATGCATGAGGCACTGGATTAGATCCTCAGCACCACATAAAATAAAATAAAAGATATTGTGATATGAAAAATTGTGCTCTATAAGTGCAACATGAATTATAATGCATTCTGCCGTCATATATAACAAATTAGAATAAAAAATTTAAAAAAGATAGTGTCCACCTGTAACTAAAAAATAAATCTTAAAAAAATTAATGGGTAAGGGATATGAAATCAAATTAGAAAGTATTCTTGCCAAAAATGTAAAAGAATACAAAAAGAACTGAATCTAATCAGTGATGTCATCAATCTTCCAGATCTAACTATCAATTTATATGAAACAGCTAGGATAGAAGAATACCACCAGAGGATGCAATCAGCAAAATCCAGAATATGAATGATCTAGTTTCTCCAACCAGTAAATGGCAACCAGAAAAAAGCTTCTAGACCTACATAGTCGAACAGCCACTGCCCACATGTAGCTAATGAGCTCTTGAAATGCGGTCAGTCCAAATTGAAATAATCTTTCAATGAAAAATTTACACCAAATTTCAAGACTTGGCATGAAAAAAATGAAAATATCTCATTCATAATTTATTAATTGATGACCATGTTAAAAATAATATTGTGGATATACTGGATTCAATAAAGTATTAAAATTAATTTTACCTGTTTTAATTATATATTTTTAAATGCAGCTGCTAAAAAACTTTATATACATGGCTCACATTCCATTTCTATTACAATAGCAAATGCTCTAGATAAAAGCAAAAAATTGCAGTATATGGACCAAATATTAGATTTTGATTTGAATAAGCCAATTCTGAAGGGAAAAAACAAGACAATTATGGGAAATTTAAATAATGACTCAATATATTAAGATACTAAAGAATCACTATAACTCTTCTTAGGCATAATGATGTTTGTGGATATATGTTTTTTAAAATTTTTATCTTTTAGAGATACATATCAAAAGAATCATTTACACTTAACATGATATATGGAATCTGCAATAATCCTTTATAGCTGTTTCTTTTTGTTTTTTTTTTTAAAGAGAGAATTTTTTTTT